TGGACGCGTCCGTTAGCATTCAGCTTTGCTTCCCGTAGGCTTTATTAAGTCCTAGTAGATTTCATACCACACGCCTTACCGTTGTATCACTTTTATTACGAAAGCCCACTACGACTCTTTGGATCTGATATATCAATTATCTCAACAAATGTCCACTAAAGCCTCAGTCTTATGCCTAATTAGGGTATATATTGGTTTTAGACCCTATGTTTCTTTGAACCAAATCCATTTCAGACAATTTGGTGTGGAGTTGTTAACTCCCACTCTCTGGTCGGCATGTTAACTCTCGAAGGGATTAACCGATTTCATCCTAAACTTCGTAATAGTTATTCCAAACATAAATCAAGTTCGAAGATGGAATATCGGACCACTCCACAAAATGGTCAACATTCTTCTGAAAATAAGTTTGATTAAATCATTAGGACTTTGACTAAGTATAATGTTGAAAGATGTGACCCATCTAATTGTAAGTTTTTTGAAAAATTGTTGATCATTTGATCAAAGGAATAGAGTGTTCGATCTGATTCGAACAGTGCGCAACGTATTGTTTATTCAAAACCTACATCAAGTCCTATGATGGGACACATCGGTTCCCTCCTTCTGGTACCCACAGTGCGCAACGTATTGTTTATTCCGAACCTACATCAAGTCCTAAGATGGGACACATCCTTTCCCTCCTTTTGGTACCCACACAATAACAAAAGGGCCAACATTTTGAAAATTTTTACATTTCAGATGTTTATTACTTTTATCAATAAATACCAACAACGATTCCAGAATGTTTTCACTCACTTTGTCCCCGTCTATGTTGCTGTGCTGACATTCTTACGTCTCCGCTAACGAGACCTTATTTACAAATATTGTGTCTAGCCTAAAGGGATGATTTTGTACTAACCTATATTGATAAATTTCTCGAACTCATACTGTGTAAAAAAGGCCACCTTCGACTCCAATAATTTGACAGTGTTGCTGAGTAGCTCTTCCTACCGAACGAATAGTTTGACGGTGTCAACAGGTAGCTCTTCCTACCCAGTGAGCTTTTACTTATTCCTCTACTGAACTTTAGACACCTGATTGATCAAATTGTGCATCATTCACCGAGGATGGTGGGCGTACACGTAAACTTTCGCAGTAGGATGCTAAATCTTCCTTGTTAATTTCGGTGACCGAAATTCAGGATAATTTAGATATAGCTGCTATGTATATTTTCTACCGACTACATGTAAATAGTGCACTAAACTCCCGCGGTTTGTCCGATTCAGACGTAATTTGGAATGCCGTACAGTATTGAGTCTAAAACGAGATGTGTCAAGTATCGTTGAAATCGGGTCAGCTTCAGATATAGCTAAAGTAGATATAGCTAAAATAGTAAAGTATCATAGGGTATTAGTGGACTGCATTCATTTACAGTTTACCATTGAGCCTCCAATAGAAGTCCCTCCACCTTCGTCTACTGTTTTCCTCATACAGCCAACAACGTTTTTCTTAAGCTGTATATTCCGTTCTCCATGATCATCACTCGGTGATTTACATTTCCAGCGATAAAGATTTTTATTTGCTCCGACTTTGACAGAAGCAATGTTCCTTTTATTTCTTCAAAATTACATGGATTTCCACACACAGCTCCCTTTCCTTTGATTTTTTCGCTAAGCTGCAGGATTTCTTTTTGTGTCTGCTTTTCATAGTTTTTTGGTTTGAAGATACGCATTTTCGAACAATTCTACAGTGGCCTTATACATGACTTTTACATACCAGCAACCGTGGACTGTCTCCATCTTTGATGTCTGTAAATAAATTCCCTCTGTAGTGAGGGCTTGCCGGGGCAACAAATATTAGAAGGTTTTAACTACTTCCTTCAGTTCCTTCATTACAGCGGGCCCTTTGTGCAGTCCGTGAGGACAGCATGTTAATTGTTTGTGTTGTGTGTATTTGTTTAACGTCGCCACTGCCTGTGGCAAGGTCTTCCTTGTTACTTTCTTTTTTGTTTTGGGATACCAGCCCGGACTCGGGTCGAACTGGGAGAGGCTTCGGTCTTGAGCCTGAGCGGAGGTTTTCCGTACCGCGGGTGTCAGGTGCCCCTGGATCTGTTGATCCAGCCTGACAGTTGGTGTGACCTCCTGGGAGCTTCGCGGGGGTTGTGGTTTCGCCCTTCACCTAGGGGGAGAGTATGTCTTCTGCATGCTCTCCGATTGGTACAGCACTTAGGTGCTGGTGGGCGCATATCCGCCTGTGGCTCAACCACTGTGAGGTAGGCCAATGGGCAGGTACTCACACAAAACACTTCAAGATTACAGCGGAGTATGTTTGGAACATTTGTTTTAATTTGAACAATATATTTGAACAATATATCTTCAGAGAACTCCACATTTGCATCTTCTAGAAGCAGAGAGAGAAGAGAGAGCTCCACATACGACGTCTTCAAAGACTCCATTATATTTAGCGAAATGTTTTTAGACATACCAGACAAATCATGTCTCGCTTCGTCAAATAGGCAAAAAGTCGACTTTTAGATTTTTCAATTTTTACCTCCGACCAAAAAGTCGATTTATGCACTTTTCGATTTTTACCTCTGACTTTTGGATCTTTCAAATCTGTTCAAAAATCTATTTTAAACTTTAAAAGACTGGTGCCAAATCAACGTTGATTTCTTATACCCTACACAACTATGTTGTCGGGGTATTATAGCTTTGTGCAGCCCCAAAAATTTGTAACGCCGCGAAATATTAGTCCTAGACCCACCTTTAAGTATACCGATCGTCATATCTCGACTAGCTGAGTCGATCTAGACATGTGTGTCAGTCCGTCCGTCTGTCCATTATAATTTGTAAACATGATACAGGCCACATTATGGACCAATCTTCAAAAAAAAGCATGTAGGTTGGGTTCTGGCCAATGAAGACCCCTATTGTTTTTGGGAAAGATCGGTTAATATTTAGGGGATGAAATGGACCAAATACTAAATTTTTGTCGGTTTTTCTGGTCGCTCCAGAGGCCGCAATAATGTTCCGAACATCGTGAAGTTTTCCATGGAGAATGCGATAGGGCCAAAGAATAAGCATACATGTTTTGATAAAGATCGGTCAATATTTAGCGGGTCAAATTGACCCTGACTTTTGTGTGAAAAATTACAAAATTTGTATTCTACAGTGTATATATTTACCCCTGAAGAACATAGACCCGAGAAGTTTATATTACATCCTACATCCTACAGGTATCTCCGTATTCGAATATTATTTAGTAAACCATTATCACTCTAGAGAGCAGAACTATAGCGCTGATCGCTTTGAAATGTTCCATGAAGTTCCAGGTATGGTCAAGAACAACGCCTATAAATTTCGGTGATCAGATAATAATTTTGGACTGAAGTGGACCGAAAACTTAATTTTGTGTGTTATTTTCGGGTCGATCTATAGACCACAAATGAAGGCCGAACATCACAACACAACCCACGGTGAAGGGAATCTGTACAATAGCAGTACTGAATACTCGTAATATTCGGAAAATATGACAGTGTGAGGATGTGGTGCTGTTTACCTCTAATCGGGAAAGAGGGTGCAAATATCACGAAATATTGCCCAGGCTCGAAATAAACATCTGCAAAAAATTTGAGTTCCGTGGTTGTTGTGTAGGGTATCGTATGGTCGGCCCCATACGACTATACTGCTCCGCTCACTGGTTTTTAAATTGTTGTCAACAGATAAAATAAATTTCTGGAATGTGTAATTTGGGCTTTGGGATAATAAACAAAGCAAAAAGTCGATTAGTCGAAAGTCGATTTACTTATCTCTACTAATCGGCTTCATTGTAGATTTCCTCCAATGCAAAATCATATATTCTGGAGTTCTTGGCGAAGATTGGGTAATAGAATTCTAGATTATCCCGCTTGATGCATAAAATCACAAGTTGTTTCAGTTCTTCCAACTGACCATAACTGGAACCTCATGGAACATTTGAAAGCGATCAGCGCTATAGTTCCGCTCTCTAGAGTGATAATGGGTTACTAAATAATATACGAATACGGAGATACCTGTAAATATTTAGGTTAACTCCCACATCCGAGCACTAACAACAATATAATTGGTATTAATTTAAAGGTCAACCACTCCTCTTGGATATAATATCAACTTCTCGGGTCTATGTCCTTCAGGGGTAAATATATACGCTATAGAATCCTTTTTTTCATTTTTCACACAAAAGTAAGGGTCCATTTTACCCGCTAAATATTGGCCGATCTTTATCAAAACAGGCATGATTATTCTTTGGCACGATCATGTTCTCCATGTAAAATTTCACGATGTTCGGACCATAACTGCGGCCTCTGGAGCGACCAGAAAAACCGACAAAAATTAAGTATTTGGTCAATTTCATTCCTTAAATATTAACCGATCTTTACCAAAAACAATAGGGGTCTTCATTGGGCCGAACCTATCCTCCATGCAAAATTTGGTGAAGATTGGTCCACAAATGTGGCCTGTATCGTGTTTACAAATTATAATGGACATACGGACGGACGGACACACATGTATAGATCGACTCAGCTAGTCGAGATATGACGATCTGTATACTTAAAGGTGGTTCTAGGACCAATACTTCGTGGCGTTACAAACTTTTGGGGCTGCACAAATCTATAATACCCTGACAACATAGTTGTGTAGGGTATAAATATCCTTTCCCTTACTATCTCAGCTTCGCGACCGACACTTTGCAATTGTGTATGTTTGCATTAGACTGCTTTAATGATTAATTTATTGTTTTTGATTCTTTTGTAGGTCATGTTACCCCTTCGCGTACATGGTATCTATATTACGATACCGAGAATTTTCAACGTGAACTTGAAGAAGTTGTCTGGGAAATAATGCCATTATATCAAGAGCTGCATGCCTATTTGCGTCATTGGGCACGCCATCAATACGGCAAACATTTGACCGATGCTACAGATGGTGCCATACCGGCACCAGTAATGGAACAGATTATCACACAAGATTGGTATGCTAATCCAATATTTCGTATACCATTCCCCAAACATCCATTGCCAACGGTTAAGCAACGTTTAGAGGAGGTAATGGACACACCAGTGCAGATGATAAAGAAATCCTCGGAATTCTATGAATCGATGCATTTGAATAAATTGAACAAGTAAGTGGGAATGAATAGTAGACAAAATGCGATACTGTGAAATGAGATGTGTTGAAATCTATATTGAATTTCATTTTAGAACATTTATGGACAAATTTGTACGGCGCATCAATGAAGATGACCCGAATAAAGTTTGCAGCGTTGAGGTGTCATATTTTCCACCAGATGTTGCCCTGAGATTTTGTAATAAGGTAGGCATTCCTACTGGCAATTAAATCCAATATCTATTTGTAATTATTTTTTTTTTTAATATTTTAAGGTTGATTATCGCGCCTTTTTGCAAATGCATGGCCATGTTGCGGAACTCCAATACAACATGTATAAATCCAATTTGCCTGTGGGCTTGGACAAGGAACCTTGCCCTGGTTTTGGTAGTGCATTGGGTGAAGCTTTTATTATTGCTGCTGGTACGCCGCGTCATTTAAGCCGCTTGGCTATTGTGGTCAATGATAGTCTGCCACCGGAACAATCTCTTAATCGTTTATTCCGCATGGTGAGTTGTTACTAATGTAGGACAATGTCGTTCCTGAAGCGGTTCAATATTTTTGTTCTCTAAGCAAAAGGAACTAGGTCATTCATTTAGTTCCTTTAGTTCAATCACTCATTGTTCCACATTACTTAAATTGGTCTGTGAACGAGAGCAACTGCGAACGATTTGAACAAAAGATACTTGATGAACGAAAAATACGGACCTACCAGAACTAGTTCATTTCGAAACGACCCAAATTTAGTACTCACGAGTGTATTTTCTCCAAAATTAAAAAAAAATCTTAATTTACTTTTTAGGGTGTCCACACCATTATGGCCATACCACAATATTTTATAAATGATAAATACTTTGTGGATGTTATGGATGGCAGGATTAGTCCCAGGGAATATAATTGTGCCTATTGGAAACTACAACATAAATATGCTGGTGTAGTGCCGCCCAGTAGACGCAATGAAATGAGTTTTGATCCAGATTTTAGATTCTACAAAGGTCTGAGTCCCGATAAATCGAATACCATGTAAGTACAGAGTATATATGATATAAGAAAGTGTGAACACATTGTGTCATTTAGCATTTAAATATTTTATAAATATATAAAAAAAATATATATATATATATATATAAATATTTTATAAATAATACCATACAATTACCTCTTTGATCTTAGTACTTAGAGATCCTGGGTGGACTTTTTATACCCTACACAACTATGTTGTCAGGGTATTATAGCTTTGTGCAGCCCCAAGAGTTTGTAACACCGCGAAATATTGGTCCTAGACCCACCTTTAAGTATACCGATCGTCATATCTCGACTAGCTGAGTCGATCTAGACATGTGTGTCCGTCCGTCTGTCCATTATAATTTGTAAACACGATACAGGGTACAGTTATGTACCAATCTTTACGAAATTTTGCATGTAGGATGGGTTCTGCCCAATGAAGACCCCTATTGTTTTTGGTAAAGATCGATTAATATTAAGGGGATGAAATGGACCAAAAACTTTATTTTTCTTTGATTTTCTGGTCGCTCTTGGGGCCGCAATTATGGTCCAAACATCGCGAAATTTTACATGGAGAAGGGGATCGGGCCGAAGAATAAGCATGCCTGTTTTGATAAAGATCGGTCACTATTTAGCGGGTCAAATTGACCCTGACTTTTGTGTGAAAAATGACAAAAAAAAAATTAGTAACCCATTACCACAATAAAGGGCGGAAATATATATTGATTTTTTTCCATGAGGATCCAGGTATGGTCAAGGACAATGCCTATAATTTTCGGTGATGATCAGATAATAATATTGGTATGAAGTGGACCGAAAACTTTATTTTTGTTTTTTTTTGATTTTTTCTGCCACAATTATATGCCGAACATCACAACACAACCCACGGTGAAGGGAATATGGACAAGTAATTAGAAGGACTGTACTGAATATTAGTAATATTCGGAAAATATGTCAGTATATGGAAGAGGTGCTGTTGGACTCTAATCGGACATGGGGGTGCAACTATCACGAAATATATTGCCCAGGCTCGGAATAAATATCCGTAGAAAGTTACGGTTACGTGGTAGTTGTGTAGGGTATTGTATGGTCGGCCCCGTCCGACTGCACCGCTCACGGGTTTTAAAAATATTTTTGAGGTTCCCCAAAATGTTTTCGGGTCTATCCTTAGGCGTGGATTTTTAAAAATATTTTTCGAGTCTATCCTTAGGCGTGGATTTTTAAAAATATTTTTTCGGGTCTATCCTTAGCCCTGGATTTGTTAAAAATATTTTTTCAATGTCTGCCGTGGATTTGTTAAAAATATTTTTTCAATGTCTGCCGTGGATTTGTTCCTAATATTTTTTGAGAACCATCCTTAGAGGTGGATTTTTTTAAATATTTTTTAAGGGCCATCCTTAGTGGTGGATTTTTTTTTTTAATATTTTTTATGGGCCATCCTTAGAGGTGGATTTTTATACCCTTCATCACATCACACTGTGGTACAGGGTATTATGTCTTTGTGCATATGTTTGTAACAGGCAAAAGGAAACGAGATAGACCCATGGTTCCTTTTTAGAATATGCATAGAATCACTTTCTAAGTCGATTTATGCATGTCCGTCCGTCCGTCTGTCTGTCCATGTTAAATTGTTAACAAAGTACAGGTCGCATTTATGATCCGAATTGGATGAAATTTGGCATAGGTCACTTATTTGGCCCAAGGACGAACCCTATTGAAATTGGGAAAAATCGGTCCAGATTTAGATATAGCTCCCATATATATTTTCGTCCGATTTAATGTAAATAGTGTACCAAAGTTCCTATAATCCTTCAATTTGCACGAAATTTGGCACAGCGCACTGAATTAGGTCTAGGATGATGTGTGGTAAGTTTCCTGAAAATCGGTCCAAATTTAGATATGGCTCCCATATATATTTTCGTCCAATTTTATGTAAATGGTGTACCAAAGTCCCTATATATCTTCCGATTTGCACGAAATTTGGCATAGGGTAATGAATTAACTCTAGAATGATTTGTGATAAGTTTCCAGAAAATCGGTTCAGATGTAGATATAGCTCCCATACATATTTCCGGCCGATTTAATGTAAATGGTGTACCAAAGTGCCTAAATATCTTTCGATCTGCCCGAAATTTGGCACAGCGTAATTAATTAGGTCTAGAATGATGTGTGTTAAGTTTCCTGAAAATTGGTTCAGATTTAGATATAGCTCCATATATCCTATATATATTTCGATTTGCACGAAATTTGACATAGCGTACTGAATTGATACTAGAATGATGTGTGCAAAGTTTCGTGACAATCGGTTCATATTTAGATATAGCTGCCATATATATTTTCATCCGATTTAAGGTAATTTGTGCACCAAAATCTCTGAAAATTTGTCATGGCTAGAATGACGTGTGCTACGTTTCGTGAAAAGATCCAGAACTAGGCCGATTGACACAACGTACTGATGTAATAAAATTAGTCTCTGGCAAGTTTCCCTGAAATCGGTTCAGATATATTCTACATATGTTAGGATACATATGTAGAATATACCCAAAGTGGTGAGGTATCATATAGTCGGCCCAGTCCGATTTTACTACTTTCCTTACTGGTTTTTAATATTTTTTAAGGGCCATCCTTATGCGTGGATTTTTATAAGCTTCACCACACTGTGGTGAAGCTTACTTTTGAGAATATGCATAGAATCACTTTCTGAGTCGATTTACGCATGTCCGCCTGTCAAAGTACAGGTCGCAATTTATGATCCGATTTGGATAAAACTTGGCACAGTTCACTAGTTTGGCCCAAAGACGAACCCTATCGAAATTTTAGAAAATCAGTTCAGATAAATCATTTAGATAAAGCTCCCATATAAAGTTTCGTCCGATTTTTTGTGAATGATTCACCAAACTCCCAATATTTGTCCGATTGGGACGAAATTTTGCACAGAGTACTGCATTAGATCCAGACTGATGTCTGCGAAGTTTTGTTAAAATCGGTTCAGATTTAGATATAGCTCCCATATAGAGTTTCGTCCGATTTTATGTGAATGATGGACCAAACTCCCAATATTTGTCCGATTAAATTTTGCAGACTAACTTTGTCCAGACTAATGTATGCTAAGTTTTGTTAAAATCGGTTCAGATTTAAATATAGCTCCCATATAAAGTTTCGTCCGATTCTATGTGAACGATGCACCAAACTCCCAATATTTGTCTAGTGGGACAAAATTTTGCACAGAGTACTGCATTGGATCCAGACTGATGTCTGCGAAGGTTTTTTTAAAATCGGTTCAGATTTAGATATAGCTACTATGTATAGTTTCGTCCGATTTTTTTGTGAATGATACACCAAACTCCCAATATTTGTCTGGTTGAGTAAAATTTTGCATAGCGAATGCTATAGAGAAAAAATGATGCATGATAAGGTTTGTTGAAATCGGTTCAGATGTTGCTATAGGTCTTATATATATTTTCATTCGATTTTATGTACATGGTGGTTACACGAAATTTGTGCAGATGGCATTAAATTGAATATAGAGTGATAACAAAAAACAAATGATGTATGCAACGGTTATTCAATTAGGTCCATGTGTTTATATATAGCTCCCATACATAATTTGACTCGATTTCATACAAATGGTACACCAAAGAGTCCAAGTCTATCCGTTTGACATGCAATTTTTCATTGATTTCAGAAAGTATGGGTTTTTTGTGTAGATTAGATTCGTCTGGCGTGTATTTTGTACAAAAAAAATTTCCAGGCTAAAACCTAATTTAAATTAATAACTCCAACTCTGACACTCATTCGTTTAGCATACATTGAAAGCTTAAGATCAATAACCACGATTACCATATCAGCTCCGCTCCCGAGCTGTTTTATTGACGCCCAGCGTGAAGTTTATTTATATACTTAACCTTTTTATTTAACCACTAATTTATTTATTTAAAATATTCCTATTAGATTGATATTTAATTTAATTTCCAATTCTTCTCTTTCCACAGCAAATTTATTTCCGAAGTCTTGGGTCTACAATTTTATCGTTCCTTTTGTATGCTCAGTGCTGAATATAAACCGGGCAATCCGGAGCATCCGCTATACAATTGTGATTTTTATAATAGCACAGCAGTGGGGGATGTTGTCAAGTATGCATATTTTTCTCAGATGCTATTTTTTTTTATTTCAATAAAATTTCAATTTATTTGTTTCCCAGGAAAATGATGAAAATGGGTGCCACCAAACATTGGCGTGATGTCATGGCAATAGCAACAAAAGAGCGTCGTCTAAGTGCCCAGGGTGTCATGGAATATTTTGCACCACTGTACATTTGGCTTAAGGAGCAGAATAAGAAATTGGGCCTAATTCCCGGATGGGATGATGATATACGTAAGTTGTTTTAAAGGGGGAAGAGAGTGTGACCAGGAATTTTATTAATAAATTATTGTTTTTTTTTTCAATTTCTTTTCAGAATGCGGAAATTATTTCTAAACGTTGAACATTATACACCCAAACAATAATGTTGTAAATAAATATAATATTAAATATATATATATATATATATATTATCAATAAATAGTCCTTGTAGTACTACCGGAGAAATAAACTTGAATTCTTAAAGAATAATTTTGAGACAAATTTAAGAATTAAAGGATAGAATATGAAAATTAAAGCAGCGACTGATCGTTCAATATTATCTCAGTTATTGGAATTGAGAGAGCAATGAATGGTGTAACCAAACTTTTCGAAGATGATGTAAGGATTGTTTTCCAATCACTTTCTGTGCTATGAAATCTCAACAGGTTTGGGGGATCACAAAAATCCGAAGTTTTCAAAACTGTAATCCGACAAGTCTTGGAGCTAATAAAATGCATTAATAAATCAGCTACGAATAGTTTTCAGTGAATAATATCTAAGGATCCTCAATTCACATGAAGTATTGTGTGATTTGCATACTAACGCTGGTTTGGAGAGCAAAACATTATTGGCAACACCGTATTGAAAACAATGATGATTAAAAGTTGTATTACTAATCCGTTATGGAATATAAAAGTTAAATATTTTAAATCTCCAGATAGAAATGTCATGACCGTTAGGACAATAGAGGTTGCTTTTGTCAGGTGGAGGGGAATTCTGAAAAGAGTATGGAAGCTCTAACAGAAATGTCCTCGACATTAACCTTCGATAATACATGGTTATCCATATTGTGGTATCAAAAGTACACATAATTGAAGGTTTATCTACAAAAACAGTTTTTCGCTAAGACCCATTAAAACCAGTAGGGAAAGTAGTAAAGTCGGACGGGCCGACTATATGATACCCTTCACCACTATGGGTATATTAATATGGGTATATTAAACATGAAATTGGATGAAATAAAATATGTGATATTTATCTAAATGTGAATCGGACTAGATCTATCCATAAACATGTCATTCGTTTTGGACAAAAGTATGAAAATCGACTTCAAACAAATCGACTTCTAGAAAACGTAACTTCTTTATTCTAGGCTCAATTTTGTACGTTGTGCAAAATTTGATGTCAATCTGACAAACATGAGGAGTTTGATGTACAATTTACTTAAAATCGGACGAAAATATATATGGAAGCTATACCCAAATATGAAACGATTTCAACGAAACTTGTCACAGGTTAAGTTATACTAATTTCGGTACGTTTAGTTCCTATAAGCCATATATTGGCTTCTTGGTGCGTCTAAGAAGCCAATATATGGCTTATAGCTTACAGCTATATCTAAATCTCAACAGATTTTTACGAAACTTGGCACACAAAATTCTGGACACACAAAATTCTGGACTAAATTCAGTACGTTATGCAACATAAGAACTTTGGCACATTATTTAAATTAAATCGGACAAAAAAATACATATCTTGATCTGAACTGATTTTCACGAATCTTGGCAGACATCGCTCTAGGCTCAATTCAACACGTCATGCCAAATTTCTTGCAAATGGGAAGATATATAGAGACTTTGGTGCAGCATTTACATGAAATCGGACGAAACTAAATAAGGGAGCAATATCTAAATCTGAACCGATTTTCTCGAAACTTGGCACACATCATTCTGGACCTAATTCAGTACGCTATGCCAAAACTTGTACAAATCGAAAGATTTTCAGGGACTTTGGTGCACCATTTAACAAAAATCGGGCGAAAATATATATGGGAGCTATATCTAAATCTGGACCGATTTCCAGGAAACTTGACACACATTAGTCTAGACCTAATTCATTACGCTATGCTAAATTTCGTACACATCGAAAGATATATAGGGACTTTGATACACAATTTACATTAAATCGAACGACAATATATATGGGAGCTATATCTAAATCTGGACCGATTTTCAGGAAACTTGACACACATTAGTCTAGACCTAATTCATTACGCTATGCCAAATTTCGTGCACATCGAAAGATATATAGGGATTTTGGTGCACCATTTACATGAAATCGGACAAAACTATATATGGGAGCTATATCTAAATCTGGACCGATTTTCACGAAATTTGGCAGACATAACTCTAGCCTCAATTCAGTACGTTCTACCGAATTTCGTGCAAATCGAAAGATATATAGGGACTTTGGTACACCATTTACATTAAATCGGACGAAAATATATATGTGAGCTATATCTAAATGTGAACCGATTTTTCTCAATTTCAATAGGGTCCGTCCTTGGGCCAAATAAGTGACCTATTTCATCCAATTCGGATCACAAATGCGATCCGAATTTTTGTTCACAATTTAACGTGGACTGACGGACACACGGGCGCACAGACGGACATGCGTAAATCGACTTAGAAGGTGATTCTATGCATATTCTTAAAAGAAACCATGTGTCTATCTCGTTTTCTTTTGCCTGTTACAAACATATGAACAAAAACATAATACCCTGTACCACAGAGTGGTGAAAGGTATAAAAAATATTGAAATTATCTTCTAAAAACACCATTGGGCACAATTAGTTACAGATTTCTCATTGCTTAATGACCCGTAAAAATATAACATTAATATTCAGCTAACCCATTTGGCTTTAAAATTTTCCCCAAACACTCTCTCTCCCTCTTGGGTATCCCCAAGGATGCAAAACATAACGCTGGAAAAAATCGTTTGAATATTACAATCAATTAAAGAAGTGAGGGTATGTGTGTGTGTAAAAGTGTGTTCCTAATCTTTTTATTCATATTTATTTTGGTTGCTGTTGTTTTTCAAACGCCTTTTGCCATATTAAACTGTAAGAGTTCAATCTATTTACGGGCTGACTGATAGCAACAAACATATTCTGGGCAATAAAAAAAAAAAAACAAAATACTGACAATATCCAACCACCCACCGTTTATAAAAAAATTTAACGACAAACATTTTTTATCAGCTTCCATGCAAACAAACATCCAGCGAAACGATAGCATAGAGACACACAGCATTCAAATATTCAATATGTGATCCAAAAATACCCCTTTTTTCTGGTAAATTTCTACAGCAAAAACAAAGCTTAGTTGCTGTCATTGTTGATATTTTAGAGGATTTGCTGTTACTTCATGGTCGCCTTCACTACGAAAAAAAAGACTGATTGTAGCAACAACAAATAGTCCTTTTTGCCGTTGCTGCTTGGGGTTGGGTAGAGGATTTGTTGGCTGTTTTCGTCATTTAAAATATTTCTACATCATTTCCAATCCAAAAAAAAAAAAAAAAAACAAGAAACCATGAATTTTTCCAGACATGACCTTTTATATTTTTTGTCGATTGGGTTAAAGTTTAGGGAAATATTGAAGGGGTTGCTTTTGAGTAGAAAGTTTAATGGTTTTTGATTCTTAACTCTGTGGTCAAACATATGCTGTTAATAAAGCGGTGTGAGACATTCATTGTATTTCTGCCAAATATTATGTGCGTAAATTGTTAATAATTTGGCTATTGGTTTTTTAACACAAACCAGGAAAGGAAAGTTCAAAAATCGGACGGAGCCGATTATATGATACCCTTCACCACTTTGGGTACATACAAGAAATGCTCATATATATCCTTTAGATAGGATATACATAGCATCTTTGAACAACCATTGAGATGGAATCGGACGAAAGTTATTGGACCTGAAGTTATAGATATTTGAAGTAAATTAAAACAACCCATACACATTACAATCTGAAATTTTTGAAAAATGGGATTCAGCCTGACTATTTTGCAAAAACAAAATTTTTGAAAAATTTAATGTCAATCATCGAGCAAAATATGTATAAAATCTTTATATAAATGTTCGTATTTGAGCAACCGTGACATCCACCATTTGGTATGATGCAACCCTATGCGCTATTCAAAATTTATCTCGGCACAAAATCCAATACACTTTATTCTAGGTTCGATTAGGTACATTCGCATTTATCACCCGATTTCGATGAAATTTGGCCCAAGGACAAACCCTATTGAAATTGGGAAAAATCGGTTCAGATTTATATATAGCTCCTATATATATTTTCGTCCGATTTTATATAAATGGTACACCAATGTCCCTAAATATCCTTCGATTGGCACGAAATTTGGCGTAGCGTACTCAATTAAGTCTATAATGATGTGTGCTAAGTTTCGTGAAAATCGGTCCAGATTTAGATATAGCTCCCATATATATTTGCATCCGATTTAAGGTAAATGGTGCACCCAAGTCCCTAAATATCTTTCGATATGCACGAAATCTGGCATAGCGTACTAAATTAAGTCTATAATGATGTATGCTAAGTTTCGTGGAAATCGGTTCGAATTTAGATATAGCTCCCCTATATATATATATATTGGTTCCATTTAAGGTAAATGGTGAACCAAAGTCCATAAATATCACTGTGCAACACAAAAAATAATTACCGGGAAATTCCAACAGATTATGAAAGAGGGGCTAAAAAAAAGAAGACACGTGTATCGGCGTTTTGAAAGTTTACGTCGGGAGGTAACCTAAAAAGGAGGGACAATATTTCCCCTTTTCTAGAATTTTTATAATTTTCGAATTATGATTTCATGAAATCCTTGCATTTTAGGTATATAGTGTCTTTAGCAATATTACTGATAAAATATCGGTTAATATTTTGCTATACAACATTAACCCTCAACCGACTCATTAAAGGGGTCTTTTCGGTCCCCTTTTCCTGGAGTGATTGAAAACTCATTCAAAACGGGGATAAAGCTGTACAGAATATTCTACAGAAATGTTCGCCATAAAATTTTACTATAAGTCTCAGAATAGACTAAAACTCAAAAATCAGTCTAAGCGTCAATAATCTTAAAAAACAAAAACTCATTTTAGGGTTAAAATCGCACATATTACTAGTTTCTACCGATTTTTCCAACAAGATGTCGTTTTAGAAGGATTGTATAAAGAACAAAAATATTCTCCATCAATTTTTAGCATAAGTCACTGAACAAGAGAAATCAGTATATATAATGTATATACCGAATATATAGTCATACATATTGAACCAAAAAATCAAGATGTTCC